CACCGAGTCCCAAAAGTCCTCTTGCCGCAGTATCGCGGCCGAGGCCTGGCGGCACAACTCATCAGTCACTCAGAGAGAAGCACGGGTCCTCCTGCCGCAGTCTTCGCGGGCCGAGGCCTGGTCGAGCTCGAAGCGCGACATGCCCGTCCAACAGACGCTCGGCCGCCACGGCAGCGCCGCGAGGGTGAAGCGGAGGGACCAGTAGACGCACGCGACGTCGTCGGCCGGCTGCGTCGTCGCGGTGCAGCTGATCGCTGCGCCGGGAAGCCACGCGCGGCCGAGCACGTCGGCGGCGCCTGCGACGCGCAGCGAGGCGCCGTGAACCGAGGGGGCCCGAGGGGAGCCTGGGGGAGCCGAGGGGAGCCGAGGGGAGCCGAGAGGAATGCAACGCGCAGCGAGGCGCCGCGATCCGCCCGGCAACCACGGACCAGCAGAGGGGGGGGCCGCGTCTCAGTCGGGGGCGCCATGTATCGGAGAGGGGTCTCTAGTTAGGCGGAGGGCCGTCGTAGTCGGGCACTCCGCGCGTGGTGCCGAGGGGGCCGTTCGCGACGAAGCTCTCCGCGTACAGCTCGCGTGGCGCGTCGGCCTGAGGGACGTGTCGTGGACATGTCGCGGGCGTGTCGCGGGCGTGTCGCGGGCGTGTCGCGCGTCCGCCCGAGCGTATGCACGTCCCCGAGATCGCTATCTCGGCTCGCCCAAAAGTCGGAGTGCAGGGCGACCAGCGCGCGCAGCACCAGCCTCTTCCGCCGCCGAAAGATCTGCGTCGCGTTCTCCTGCGGCGACGCAGACACGGCGAGAGCAGCCCGGCAGCTGGGCAAGGCGTGAGCCGAGGACCTCCCGTGTCTCTCTTCTACCCCCCCCCGAAAAGAATGATGAAGATACAAGGCCTCTCTCAGAGAACACTGACAGCACAAGGGCACAAACTAGCTCGGACTGGCAAGAAAACCCGTCGGGGACTACGCATGTAGCGTGAAGTCCTCCGAACATGCCTCCTTTGGATCTGG